GAGAAGAAAGAAAAGATTTGAGAAAAAGAAAAAAAAAAAAACTATTGTTTTTACTTGATAAATTGTACCTGTATATTTAAATATGTATATTTGCGTGTCATATTAATTATTCTCTACCTTATTTTTAGCATATTTATAAGTACGAAAAGAAAAAAAAAAAAAAGGAATAAAAGAATAAACAAATATAAGATAAAAAGCAATAAAAATTCACTCATCAGTTTAGAACTTTGATATAAATTAGAAGTATAAAAAAGAGTGAATTATATGGCTATTATCATATGTGTAGGCAAACGTATTTAATTAATATACAGTTGTTTTTTCGCCTTTTTTCTTGCTTTTTTGCAATTATTCTGTCATTTTAATATTCGTTTATAATCAGTTTACTCAAACAACACTTTTTTTTTTATGTATGTGTATTGTTGTTGCAGAATGACTATATGAAAATAGCATTGTGCTAATTCAGTTTTGCAACTATACCTCTATGAATTTTTGCTGGAAAAAAAAAAAAAAAAGTTGATAAACTTTATATGACCGTCGTAATGTATGAAGAATTTAAATGCTGTGAAATATTATCAAAAGTTTTGTTTATTAAACTGTATTAAACATTATAAGATTCTCAACTCAAAATTGACATCTACCAAAAACATAGGCTATCTAGTCTTGAAACAAACTATAAACTATACATTAGCAGTTACTGTCTTGAAATGTTAATTAGACAACGTATATGCAGATCGATGTGGTTAACATAACATTTTTTTTTTTTTTTAAACCAACTAAAATTGCTCTATGAATTTTGAAATGTTGCAATATTGAATTTTAAATGAAAACTAGAAAACACACATTTGCTGTTTGAATTAAACATCATAAACCATAAAAAAAAAACATAATCTACGTGAAAATTTGACTGTGTTTTCATTAGCAGAAAAAAAGCTATTTATTTATTTATTGTTTATATCTATAAACAGTCTTTCAATCCTGTTATTAAACCACTAAAAAATCGAAAAAGAAGTAGTTGTCCGAATATTTGCTTATACGAAACGTATATTATCAGATAGTACAATTTTTTATTCTGTGTTCATTTATTATTTTCTAATTACTTAATAGACTTTTGATTTACTATTAAAACAACAGTTACGCCAATGCCAGCAATACTTTTTTTTTTTGAAACAAACTAATAATTTCAACAATTTTTTCTTTCACGAAATTTTTCAAGCATAATATGTTAAAGACAGACAGTTTCTATGTCTGCAGTTCACT